TGTGGATTTCAGGACAAAACTTCCGAGGCTCTGAAATCTAATATTTTGAAATCCTAACCTAATAAGAGCCTGAACATTTTCGATACTTAGCTTGGGCAATTTCGGAATTTTATAATCTTTTACAGAAAAAATCAAACCCGTAAAAGCGTAAAGCCTAAAATTAGGGAGTTAAGCGGCTTAGACAACCATAGAGTATAATGTTTAAGGCCAAAAATCGATCGCTACCATGCAGAATTCGGCATTTGGAAATTTCATTTTACAAATTGAAGCTAAAGATCTTCTAAACGACATTTCGAAAAACTACCGTAAAAATGGAATTCGACATTGAGGGTCGGGGGTTCGGTTCCGCGAGAAATTTAGTTTTTTGCTTTTTGGTAATTCAGCAACAAAACATTTCTAGGATTACCGTGTGCGCGATTTAGGCCTGGCTCTCGCTCTAGCGCCGCAGGCCCACGAAAAGTTCCTTGGCCGAGGCTTTCGCGCCGCAGGCCAAGGATGGGCCCTTGACACACGCTCTCGCGCCGCAGGCTAAACTCGGAAGAAAAAGCAGTAGCTAGCGCCGCAGGCTCAAAGATTAGCGCAAAGATGGTTCTAGCGCCGCAGGCAAAAAAGAAGCTATTGAAATCCATGATTCCTGGACAGGGTCCAGTGCAAAAGGGCCGCGAAGCGGTCGTTTTCCACTGGTTTTACTGATGATGTTCTCTCACTCTGTCTCCCTCTCTCTCTCTCTCTCTCTCTCTCTCTCTCTCTCTCTCTCTCTCTCTCGCTCTCTCTCTCTCTTTCTCTGTCTCTCTCTCTCTCTCTCTTTCTCTGTCTCTCTCTCTCTTTCTCTGTCTCTCTCTCTCTCTCCTCTATTTGGGGTCATATTCTTTCTGTCTATCGGTCTTTGTGTGTCGATGGGTGCCATTTATTTGCCCTTCTTTTTCTCTCTCCATCTCTTCGACATTTCTGTGTACTGTCACTTCTGAAGCGAGCCGAGAATAGATCAGCATTCAGGAGAGAGAGTAGAGAGTAGCGAGAGAAGCAGTGAAAGAGAGCGAAATGGACTATTTGATTGTCAGAAACCATTCGACCCTGAAATAACCCCGAGCTGATTCCGTGGCTTTTCTCTATAAACAATGGTCAGACAAATGGCCAGAAAATCACATTTCGTAAGCGGGATTTAAAAGAATGAACTCCAGGATTTTAAAGGACTACTGAATGCAAATTTTCTCAATTGAAAAACCCATAAAATCCACAAATACTCAGAATTAAAGGCAGGGGAAAGTTGAAATCGACCTCTTCTATCGGCTAGGTCTAGACAGTTACACAGTGCTCCAAATGGCACTGCGAATATCATCTGCTTGGACTATGCCCTGTTGGGTGAAGTTCCCACGGTGTTAAAGGGCCAGTGAAGGGAGAATTCGGAAACTCAAAAAGGCGCGTTTTTGTGGTTTTAAATGGACTGGAAGCCGCGCGAATCGACCCTTTCAATCGATTAGGTCTGGACAACCACACGGCACGCCAAATGGCATGATAATATAAAAAAAAACCAAAATACCCCCTCCTTTTCCACTGTTCTTTCCCCCTGCCCCCCCCCGCCTTTCCCTTTCTTTCCTGGGGGGGGGGGGGTCTTCTTCTTCCCCCCCCCTCTAACGGGCGGCCCCCCAACCGGAGAAAAAAAAAAAACAAAAAAAAGTAAAAAACCCCCATTTTTGAAAGATTCGTTGTCGTAAACCCAATTTTTCTGTGTTATGCAGTGGAGATTAGTGGTTGTTGATGCGTACTTCTGAAAATAGATATCCGGGTGCGGATTTAAAAGAGCACTTTCGAAATTTTAAGTCCGTAGACATCTTTTTGGGGGGGTAGTGTCGATGGGTGTATTTGGGAGTGTAAAAGGGATGTGGCTAGAGAGAGCGTAGAAGAGAGATAGAGAGAGAGAGAGAGAGAGAGAGAGAGAGAGATAATCCATCCGCCGGAAGTCCGTCGTCGTGTCTTCGTTCTCTACCCATCGTCTTCTCGCTTCCCTCCAATACCTGGAAATGCCCTTCAAAAACCGTCATATTTTCTTGTTTGCGTTTTATCTCGTAGTTTCATTAATCTTTTACTAAACCGTAAAACATTTGCAATTTTTTCACGGAAATGCACTTCAAAAAATGATCCGATTACAGTACTCCTGCTTTCTGGAAATGGAAACGGAGCTTTTCACGAACGCTAAAACGTGTTCTGACGTGCAGCCGAAAGGCTAGACGACCTTTCCAAATCGAGACCATCGTCAAAAGTCCTTTTTGCTGGGTGTTGAGGTCTGCCGGAAATTATCAAGGGCACCACGCAAGCGTCTTTTCGAATAGAACCTCAGCCTCTGGGACCCTCTTGCTCCTTAAAAAGAGTACTCTGATATACCTATCAGTTGATTTTGAGGATTTTCATTGCTTTTATCGTGACTTTAGCGCCTAAAAGGGCTCGTATCCGACCTCTTTCCACGACTAGGTCTCGACAGCTACTAAATTCGCTAAATAATACCCCTTTTTGCTTAAATCCCATCCAATTTGGCTGGAAATTGCGATGAATCGAAATTGTAGGTGTTGTCTAGACACAGTCGACGCCAGGGTTGATTTTCGTGCTCTTTGACACCTTTAAAGGCTCTTATAACCTCTAGTTTGTTTTAATTGCCTGGCTGTCTTGCAACTTTTTAAGGATTTTTGATGTCAAAACTGAATTTTATTGACTTGTCAAATCCTTTAAAAAAGCTTTGAAATCTCTGTTGCTCAAAACTTAATCAGATTTTGATGAATTTCAGCCTTCTTTCTCTCATGTGCCCAACTCTAAACTACACGGCATTCGTCAACCTGTGCTGCCAATTATTCCCGGGTCTCCTCAGGTGGCGAACGCGAAACTACGAAGTACACTGCGAACGGAAACAGTCAATGAGGGTAAAGGTTGGACTAATAAAAATAAACAAAACAAATTCCACGATCGCCAAATAAAATTGATCGATTTTCACGTGGAATCCGGCCGGGCGCTTGGAGTATCGCGGTGGAATTGCCAAAAATTGCTATTTTTGGGATTTTCCTGGAAAATTTAGTGTAGTTTAATTTTTTATAGCTTTTTCGTTGTAGTTTAGTCATTTTACGTATCGTAATTGATTCAAAAACTCTCGATTTCGCAGCGCGAACGGCCGCTTGAGGTATCGCGGCGGAATTTTCGGAAGAAGACCGTTTTTGCCATTTTTCAGGCCAGATCCGGTGTTTTTATTTTTTAAGCCAATTTGGTCAATCTTCGTTCAATTTACATGTCGGAATTAGAATTGAAAAGTCAATTTTGCATATGGAATTGGCCGGCAAATCCGAATTACCGCAGACAACGAAGTTCCGCTTATCGTAATTTCGAAGCACTTCCGATTCCATAGGTCTCCGAATTACAAATCAGCTTCAAAACAGAAAAAGCTGGTCTTTAACAGTGTGCAAAAACTTGCCCAAAAACTGTTATGAAAAATCGAGCGCAATCTCCCCTGACGTCACCCCGGTTTGGGAGGGGGTGTCCTTGTGGGGGATTACCCCTCTCGGCCCTCCCGGTCCCCACTGACCGTGTGGCCTAATGGATAAGGCGTCGGACTTCGGATCCGAAGATTGCAGGTTCGAGTCCTGTCACGGTCGAAACTTTTTGCTTTTTGGAGTAGAGGTGGGAAATTGTCCCTGCTAGCCTGCCCGAGATTCAGAGAAGCGTCAACGACTCCTTGTTTGCCCAAACATCACTGCTGTTATGCGTTTCATCAAAAAAAAAAAAGAATACAGTGCTTCCAACTTTTCCACAAGGGGCGGCACCTCTGCTAGTTTGCCCTTGTTTTACTTCTATGTTTCACCCGAAATTGAGTGCAAAGTGCTACTATTGGATGTTTAGAATATTCATCAACATCCCCGGGTTAGTGCCCGGAGGGGAAGAGGAGATTACGGTGGGAATGGGCAGCAGGGAGGGCGAATTTCAAAACGGAAATTTGGATTAGCCGTCGACCACTCTATTCCCCCCGGCCAAGGCCATTCTCGACAAGACCCACCTATTTTGCATCAAATTTGGAGGTTTTGTAAAAATTTAGATTCGGGATATCACGTTTTATGGTCATTATGGAAATTGGGCAACCTAGCAGAGATGATTTCGGAAAGTCGGGAATCAGACACAACTAGCAGCGATTATCTGAAATGGAAATTAACGGCCTTTTAGGCGTTGGTTTTGGTCATTTGCTGTTTTAGCCGTTCAAAACCCGGGGCAAGCTAGCAGAGATCACTTCAGATTAGTGAATTTGGCTACACGCTTTAGAAAATTTTTACGTTTTTTAGCCCATCGAAAAAGGGCAGGCTAGCAGAGATCATTTCGGATGGTTGGAAAGAGCCAAGCACCTAGCAGGGATCATTAAATGCCCAAAATTTAAGATGTCAGCATTCGAAAATAGAAGGCAAGCTCGCAGATATTTTTGGGAGTCATGAAAGCCGTTGACAACTCCACCATTTGCTTTAAACGTTTTTAAATTTCGCCGGAAGATCTAGGTTGACGATGCGATCATTCAGAAGCCGGGACAACATAGCAACGACTATTAAGGATGCGTTGGCATTTTTGAAAATCCGTATACTCGTATATATTTCTGGGCAATCAGTGTTCCAACTAGCATGTCCCATTGGGGGGGAGGTATTGAGCGGAGTGTGTTTTAATTGAAAAGCTTAGCGGTGGAAAGTGGAATGTGGTACCCTGGTCTTCTTCGATGCCCTCTTTGCAAAGGCATCCTTCTCGGATTAGAATCCTACGAACGCCCCTTTTCATCGACAGATTTTGAATTTCTGGGCTTGGTGTCGAATTCGAAGTTTTTAATTGCTTAGCCAAGGTTTTGGCCTTGCGTAGCTCTTTAAAAGAAGATTCTTCAGTATTGTATCGCGTTTGTCTAGACACAGGCAATGGAGGGGTCGATTTCCGCGCTTTCTAACTGTTTTAAAATGTTTAAAAACCTTTAGAAATCAATGTAGCACTTTCAGATGGGCGCGTGCACATCAAGACGGCGCCATCACGTCTCGGAGTTGATGGACGATGAGATTGCCGCGATTCGAGAAGTTTGGGTCAAGTACGTTTTGTTACTATTGACGCTGAAAATCTAGATTAAATTAATTTACTTGAGTTTAGGGCGAAAAACGAGGACGTCGGCAAGAAAATCCTGCAGACGCTCATCGAAAAACGGCCAAAATTCGCCGAATACTTCGGGATCCACTCAGAATCGCTGGATATGAAAGTGCTCGTACAAGTCAAGGAATTTCAGTTGCAGGTAAGTATAGAATAGCAAAAATTAACTTAAATTAAAAATCCGCTAATTTAATATTGTTTTAACTCAGTAAAATACATGTAATTTAATCTAACTAAAAATTATTGAATTTTATCTTAGGCTAACATTTGTATTTTTATTTTATTTTGTCAATTTTAGGTTAAATGATTGTATAGTTATTTTTAATTATAAAAATTCCGCTATTTTTTTCAGGCCCACCGTATCCAGAATTTTCTCGACACCGCCGTGGGATCCCTGGGCTTCTGCCCAATCTCATCTGTTTATGATATGGCCCATAGAATTGGGCAGATACATTTTTACAGGTACAAGATTTTACTTATCATTTTAACTCTATTTTCAAAAATTCAGAGGCGTGAATTTCGGGGCGGAGAATTGGCTCGTCTTCAAGAAGGTCACCGTGGATCAGGTGGGTAAAAAAGTCAATTTATAGCGATTTCAAGGCTTTTAAAATGCATACTAATTACTTAGGCGTCGAATTCATTAAAATGTATTAAAAAACACTCTTAAAAATATAGAAATCAGAATACATGGAAAATCTTCGAAAATGGCTCAAAGAGTAACATTTTTATTTTCCATTATTATATTCTGTTTTAATTGAATCCTTAAATATATGAAATTTACCTTAACTTCCAGCTTAATTTAAATTATTTTGATTCCTATGATTTTATTCGTCATCGTTTTTGCAAGCAAAAACCAGCCAGCTTGCGTAATTTCCGCCCCAGCTGTTGGGTCTCCCCCTTGCCAGATAGCCCCTCCCATCTCCTAAGTCCACGACCCAACCATAGCTCAGTTGGTAGAGCGGAGGACTGTAGAGTCGGCAGCTATCCTTAGGTCACTGGTTCGAATCCGGTTGGTTGGAATCCTTTTGCTTTTTGCTCCAAATAGCCGCTAACGTTTTGCTTTTGGCTTTTTAACCATACTTTTGAAGAATCTGAGCTTAAAACGTTCAGAAATCACAATTTTGAAGGTATTTTTCCTACCATTAACGAAAACAGAGAAAAGTACAAATTTTAATCTGATTTTAAGGTACACAAAAACTGATATTACGTGTATATTTTAAGGTGACAATGCCGAAAGAATTGCTCAGCGAGATAGAGAAGCGAAGAGAGACGGAAATCAGGGATTTGGAGAAGAGTCTGGAGAGAGGATCTCTTACGGGCTCGATTCGAGAGCCAAATCACCTCAACGCCGATCTGCTTACTGTATGTTATTCTGTGAAAATTCTTTAAATTGAATTAATTTGACAATTTTATGTAGTAGTTATTGATTTGTTTCAGGATCTTACGAATTCTTATTCTGGCGGAAATTACCTGGCCAAACAGGGCTGGAATAAACTGATGACCGTCATTGTCAGGGAGATGAAGAAAGGTATTTAATTTGCCTGTTTTAATTTATTTTATAATTTATTAAAGCTATAAAGATCACTAAAAATCCATTATTCCAGGTTTCCTCGAGGAGGCGATGCGAAATTGCCGCGAAGAGGACAACCTTCCCATATTTTCCACGGCCAATGTTTGAATTGTTTTATCGATTTTTTTTTGTGTTTTGAAATTTGACAATAAAAATCTTTATTAGTAAACTAGATATCACAAAATATTTTTTTAAAAATTAATTTTCCCAGATTATCAAAAGCCGATAGCCGAAAAATACGATTTTTTTTTCCGATTTCCTCGGACATCTTGGGATGAACCGACCTGAAATTTTGCAAACTCGTTCGCTATCCTCTTTTACGGCTCTATGCAGATTTTCAAAGCGACTGAGCTGAAAATAAGGGTTTTAGAGTCTAAAAACGGTCTCCATTAGCAAAATTCTACTGGAAATCGCTAAAAAACACGACAAAAACCGGATTTTCTAGTATAAAAACTATTCCTTAACGTTCCTCCCACCCAGAGCACCCCCTCTAGGCTTTTTCAAGCCCATTCCGCGCCAACTTTCACTACTTTCACCCCCTTCTCCTGTCGATCACCCGAGATTCGCAAGGGGCTACGCGCCGCTCCCCTTGACAGAGAGAACATGCGCTCTCCCCGCCCGACCGATCGAGCACCCACCCCGATTTCAAGGGGATAATACACACCCCTTTCTCTCTCTTTCGCTCTCTTCTCTTGCTCTCTTTTCTCCTAGAATCGACCGCGGGCTGCGGGTCACGACGTAATATCGACAGCCTGTGAGGTACCACCCTGTAATTTTTAGCTAGGCGCCTTTCAAGTCTGATGTCTATTGGTGTTCAATTTTATCGATGTGGCTACTTTCTGATTGTTGTAATCTAATTTTTCCTCTAGCTTATATCCTTAAATGTTTCGAAATATCCATTTTTCTATTCGAGTTTCGATATTTTTTTAGTTGGAACCCCGGCTTTTGAAATCAGATTTTTTTTTATTCTGGAGCGATTTTTCCAATATGATTCTTTTTATGGCTATTTTATTTTAATTTAGAGTGGCTATTAGGTTCAAAAAATATTCCTGCAAAATTATAAGGATCATATTTAGATTTTTTTCGTTCGAGATATCGAATTTTCTAAAAATTTCTCGGTTTTGCAATGAACTAGTGGAACCGAAGCTTTTATTTCCTCTATTTCGTAACTTCTGCATTTTTCTGCGTAGGTTTCGAAATTTTGGCTTTGAGATCCCGGCTTTTTGCGGAAAATAGGTTTGGAAATGGGTTAAATCCGTCTAAATTTGGTTTTTATTGATTTTATTATCAATTTAAGAGGCTGTATTTTCATTATTTGCAGTTTTCAAACTTGTGGGCTTTATAATGCGCTAATTTATTGAGGTCTGACGGTCGAGTCACCCCTCAACGAAGGAATTTCGTCAGATGACGACGGCCACGGCGAAGAAACGGGTGACCCTCGATCAACTTGTGGGTTATTTTATCTACCGTAATCGATGTGTTATTTAATTAATTTAAAGAGATAGGGGCGGCATAAGTCAATCGGTTACGCGCGGGAAAGAAAATGTCTCTGCGCCTCTCCCCCTGGGCGCCCTCTCTCGCCGCCGGTCGCGCTGGGACCTGTTGAACCCCCCCCCCTCCCCAGGGGGGGTTCAACAGATGCCGTCCTCATCTCTTTAAGCATATTATCGTCTGAAAAAAAAAGCAAAATTGCATATATCAAGATTTACGAATTTTTTAGGAATTTTGCGTAAAACGGATCCGGGTGGTCGAGGAGGGGATGTGGGATGATTTAATATTACCCGTAAGTTTTTGCAGTAATTATGGGTTTTTAAGGTATACCAGAATAAAAAATATCGAGTTAAAAGCTAAGAAAAATATAAAAATTTTTAGGCCCCATGCCCGAAAAAACCTTCGAAATCTGCAGAATCGAGCGATTGTCCTACGGTAGAAAATCGCAGTAATTTTTTAAATTGATTTTTTTAGATAATGGAAACGGAGCCCATTCAACAAAGACTTTCCATGTGTTCCCAAATTTCCTCTGGTTGCTCTTCGGAAGGTAATACCTAAAAATGTATCGAAAACGAAAATTTGCCCTGAAAATTCTGGTTTATGTTTTACCATTTAAATTCAGTAATTTAATCATTACTTGCAGCCGAGGATGAAGATATTGACGATCTGCAGGACTCAATTTTATACGGGGATGATTATGAAAAAGATGGAAAAGATGGGGCGGAAGCTGTCGAGGTAAGTGGCCCCCATTGCCCTTCCCTTTAAAATAATTATAAAATTTATTGAAAAATAAGTCGTAAGGGTCAATAAGTATTAGCAGAAAACGAACAATCTAAAATTAAGCTTAAATCATTTTATTAATTTAATTTAATATAAACAACTATTAAAATTAATCGATTTTTTTCAGCTGTCCGGGCTCGCAATTGAAGACGCCGAGATTTACATCGAAGGATTAGGCGCGTTGCCAGCCGGTGCCGTCTCCATCGCCTCCTAATATTTCTTAATTTCTAGTCAAATTTTTGAAATTATAGAAAATTGCTTTACCCGTCTTTGCCTACCGGAATCGGTTCAATTATCGATTTTTTTGCTTTGATAAAATAGGTGCCCTTTTTCCCGAAGTGCCGGTCTGTGATGCCCTCCTCTCCTTTCGTCGATTCGCTTATCATTTCGTGTAGTTTGTAGCCATCTGGCATGATTTTGTCTGTATCTCTCGCTCTCTCTCATTCTATCGCTTTTTACCAGATTTTTTGGTCTTTTTTAAGCGTGTTGTTAGCTTTCGCTCTCTCTCGCTCTCTCTCTCTCTCTCTCTCTCTCTATCTCTCTCTCTCTCTCTCTCGCTCTCTCTCTTTCTCTTCTCTCTCTATCTCTCTCTCTCCCGCCGTTTTCTCTGTATTTTTGATGCTTTTTAAGATTTTTTAGAACGGGTTGCTCCCCTTTTCAAATTCTGCTTCAAAAACCCATCAGAAAATTATGATGATTGCCTTCCCGATAGAAATTGCAGCTTTCAAATCACACGAGTGGCCTTACAAAATATGATAAATTTTCACGGCTCTACTGGTTTAAAATGCAAATTATTTCATGCACGAAAAGCTCATATGTTGGCCAATACATTTGGAATCCAATCATGCTCGAATTTGAAATTTGTACCGATTTGTGGTTTTTAGAATCCTTACAGGGTGTGCAAAAAAAAAGCCCACAGTTTGCACCAAAATATCTCGCTTATAGTAGAGAATCGAAGGTACGTTACCATGCCAGAATGCTTAAATATGCTGGGTATGAAGATTTAACACAACTTGATTTTTTCGATTTTTGAGTACGAAACTGTACTATTGACGCTGGTTACGACCGAAAATTGTGCGTTCTTGAACGGGAGGTGGGAAAATTCTGATTTTTTGCCTAAAAATAGTATAAATTTGTAGAAAGGTAATGGCAAAATCTTAGAATTTATCGAGGTCAATTTCATTTTTTAAAAGCAAAACAATTTTCGCGATTTTGCGTTATTTTTGTTCTTAGGGTGATAACTCGCTTCTAACTCACTGCCCATTGCTGGTTTTTTGCCAATGGCTTATCCAAATATTAATATCGGATCCCACACCAAATTCCACCACAATCTATGGTATTTTTGTATTGCTTGCTAAAACGTGCCCCAGTGGGGTACTGTAGGTTTCGTTTCTCCCGCTTTTCTCGGGGCCCCTAGCTTCGATTCGGCTAAAATTTTCTGGGTTGTTAGGCAATAAGTAGGGGCACCTTACTGCCAAATACGAGAGCGTACTATCCACAAACTTTCATGAAAAAGACTAAAAACAGATTTTTTAATTCTGCGGCAGAATTTTGTAAATTTTTTGGTCAATTGGTCCAAAAACTGCTACTATTGGTTTTCCGAAAAGATCGACGCGATTCCATGGCAAAAACACCACGAAAATCGCAAATTTCGGTTTTCTACAGTAACCCACGTGGAGCGCGTTTTAGCATGCCATCAAAAAATTCCATAAAGTGACGATTTTTCTGTTCGAGGGCCTTCTAGAGTTGATTGTAAGATAACCTGTGAAAAATTACTGATTTTTGGTGGTAAATAACAAAGTTACGAGGCAAAGTGCAAAACAAGGCCAGAGAGCCGATTTTGGGTTCGAGTAGCCGGGTCAATTTTCGAATTCTTAAAACAAAAAAACCAGCTGGGTCTTATGGATACGATTAAAGATTTGATGTTATTATCTACGCACGCCAAATTTGGGGGCAATCTGATTCATGATCATGGTGACTTTCAGCTCAAAATCGAAGATCACCCTATTCCAAAATCGAAGTTTAAAATTCTTTTACAAAAATTTTTGACGGAAAATCGTCTTAGTCTTTGCATAGTTTTATTTAACTGATCGCCCTGACTTATTGCTCAAAATATCCCTACGACCCCACCTTCCAAAATTTTTTGACGCAACCTCCAATTCGGTTTATTTCGGTTTTTGATGAATTTTCCTGGCGCCAAGGGGTGGTTAAAAAAAATTCATGAATAAGGCTTTAGGATGCGCTATTCAACTGGTATCCGATAAAAATAAAACGATAATTTTTACAGCTCGACTAAATTTTATAAAATGGTGACAAGATTCGGAAAAAAGCGCGAACCAACCGTTTTGGAGGCCCTAAAAGACGCCCTTCCAAAGAGGTACGGTAGATCGAAATTTTGTAGATGATAGATAAACCCCAGAACTACATAGCTAAGCAAAGAAAACAACTGAGTCCCCTTTGGCAATCTAGAAATATTTTTCCAAAGTTGGGTTTCGAGACCTCGAAAAATCCATGACCAGGGGGTCGTTGAAAAACTCGAAAATTCATCGATCTCAAAAAATTCTTTAATATGTTTATGCGATTGTGTCAAGCCTGTAGGTATTCCACAACAACTGATTTTGAGGTTTTCGCCATAGGTTTTTTCAATATTAAAAATTTACGAAATTTCTCCATACAAAATTTCATTCCTCTCGAACTTTTCAACCAGACCCTCAAAAATTCTTAAATTTTGTAGGTACATATCTGCTGCCTATATTAACTTACTTAATAAATATTAGATGCCAGCCACCACAGGAAACTGAGAAAAATACAAATGAATTTTCCCCGAACGCACAGTTTTCGGGCGTCATACGTCGCCAAAAATCGAAAAAATCAAGTTGTGTTAAATCTTCATACCCAGCATATTTAAGCATTCTGGCATGGTAACGTACCTTCGATTCTCTACCGTTCGCGAGTTATTTCGACCCAAACTGTGGGCTTTTTTTTTGCACACCCTGTAGAATTTCAGAGTCGGGTCTTAATAGACGTTCCAGAGCCTAATTTGGGCTCTTTCTGATTGGAAATACTGTATTATGCTTTAGAAAATGGTACGTGCTTATTACATGCAAGATCCGGTCACTAACCAGCGAGATCCTTGCGAATTGGATCCACCTAGGGAAGCCACCGAGGAAGCGTTGAAAAGATGTGATGTATGGACGATGAAGGTGAGAGAGAGAGAGAGAGAGAGACGAGAGAGAGAGAGAGCGAGCGACTACTAAACCTATATTTACCTAACTGAATTCAGATCCCAATCGAGAATGACTGGGAGCAAAAGTTAAATGAAGAAGCGAAGAAAGTCGGACTCAACTACCGCGATGAAATCCACGTCAATAAGGATAAAATGCCGAATTATGAGGAAAAGGTAGAAGAAAAGAGATAGAGAGAGGGGGAAAGAGAGAGAGAGAGAGAGAGAGTGTGTGGACGAAAAGCTAACGATTCTCTATTTTCAGATCAAAATCTTCTTCGAGGAACACCTCCACGTCGACCCGGAAGTCCGATTTGTGAAGGGTGGCAGTGGATATTTTGACGTTAGAGACAGAGAGGTACCAATATGTATTTTTAACTTTTTGATATTTTTAAAATGCGTAACATTAAATTAATAGACATTAAATTTAAGGCAAATAGATTAATTTTTTACTCCTTTTTGTTCAGGACAAATGGATCCGACTGGCGGTCTCCGCAGGGGATTTCATCTTCCTACCCGCAGGCATCTACCATCGATTTACGGTGGATAATAATGTGAGAAATTTATAGTATTTTGACGTAACTGTCTAGACCTAGTAGGTGGAAGGAGTCGATTTATACGCTTACCAATTCCGCCAAACCGGCGATGGTTCAATGGTTGTACCGGTGAATCTTTCCTCTCTCTCTCGCTCTCGCTCTCTCTCTCCCTCGCTCTATCGCGCTCTCTCTCTGTCTCTCGCTCTCTCTCTGTGTCTCTCACTCTCTTTCTCTCTCTCTCTCTCTCTCTCTCTATCGCTCTCTCTCTCTCTCTCTCTCTCTCTCGCTCTAATCGCTCTCTTTTTAGGACTCCATCAATGCGATCCGTCTGTTCAAAGACGAGCCAATCTGGGAGGCGTTCAATCGCAGCGACCATCAAACAGATGAAAAAACAATCAGGGCTGAATATCTCAACGCCATCCAAAAAGTTTAATAGCTATTTTCTATTTTTTCTAATGAATACAATTTTATTACGGTAGTTTTATACATTGTAGAGATCAATAAATTCTGGCGGCACTATCCGTGAACCTTGTTTTTTCTTCTCCGCCCAACATTTCACGGCCAGCCATTCGATGGCTGAGATCAACAGCAGAAAACCGAATCCGGTTACCACCTGAAATTGCATTAAAGGGACCGGCAATGCATTGAGACTGACTTACACAATAAAACTATGTAAATTTTCAAAATCGAAAAATACATAGTTTCAAAAATTAACAAATTTAAAACTGTGTTTTTGCAATTTTGCGTTTTAGGATCAAAATGAAAAATAATCCACAGTCTTTTTACGAACCTTTTTCCTTTTTTTGCTTCCGCTAAAAAATGGTTAAAAACACCCACGTCATAGTACGAATTGACCATAATTCCGTCAGTCACATTATTACTGTACACGTGGATATCGATTGACTGCAAAAATTGGTATCATGGGGATTTTAGGGAAATTTGGATAAGCTTAGCTTAATTTGGGTTTCGTTAATTTAATTAAAAAATGTTATAAGTTTAAAACGCTTTTAAATAAAAATTTAATTTGCTTCAACTCACCAAAAATACAGGATAAGCATGGGCCAATAGAACGATCCGTTTTCGCATCCCGATTACGGTGAGAATAAATGTAAGGATAGTCAATAGACACCACAGGGAATTCAAGAATATTATGGCGATGACGGCAGCGAGAGAATATGAGACACGATCACGGTCTGATGGAATTCTGAATATATCAGATTAAAGGCACTGGGAAGTCCGAAAATCGACCCTTTCCAACGACCAGGGGTAGACAGCTACGCAACACGGCCATTGACGCGGGTTATATCTTGAATTAGCGTCCTTGAGATGCATAGAAATCAAATCGTATCGTATCAAATCAATCGTTTGACGCGTCGAGTAGCTGTCTAGACCTAGACAATGTAAGGGGTCGATCTCGTTGGGCTTGTGGATACCCCCTCGCTTAGATTTTTGTAATTTTCATGGTGATCGCTCTGGCCCGAAAATCGACCCCTTGCCATTAGGTCTAGACAACTATGTGACGCGCTAAATCACGTACGGCACACGAGCTGAAAAGCGTCGCCAAGCTATCCAGTCCTGGTTGATGGAAAGGGTTGATTTCTGGACTTCCTGGACTCTTTAGAAACCCGGAAAACCAGTGAATTGACACTGCTCGAATGCTAGCAACACGCCACAATCGCGTTTGCGCGCTTTAAAGGGACGCCGACAGCTCCAATTTGGAGATAACTCGCTGGAAAAGGCAAGGAAACACGAGCAAAATCTCGAAATTTGAAGGGGTTTTGCAAGCCAAATATCCCCCCACCGTAACCCATTTTTACAATACCTTTTATGCAAAACGTAATAGACATAATCGGAATATGTGACAGCCGCTATTCGACCGATTATCTGGAGAACAGAACATGTGAAAAATATCCATTCCAAACGTGTTGTCTTTCTAATATGTTCTCGAATCCAGTAGGGACGGCCGCGCATTAGGAATCGACCGGAAAATTGAGAATTTATTGGGAAAATTTTATTTCCTTATCTTCTGTGATTCTTTGGAGTGAGCAAATCGCATTAGGTGTCCGGCGGAATTGTTTACTTTTCGGCGGAATTGTTTTGACGTCAACAACGACTGCTCGACGAAGGATGGATGGCAGCTTGCCAAAATGTCGACATTTTTGGAGCTTAGAAGCTGTAAAAAAATTATTTTTGAATATTTTATCTCCATTAAATGGATGGCAGAGGGCCAGAAAAACCTGGTTTTATACAGCTACCGACCACAACCCTCAAAGAACATCGAGTTTTGACCGGATTAACACGCTCAGTTTTACTAATAAACACAAATAATCTTTGACACACAATGCTAAAAACAAATAGCATTAAAAAAAACTGAGAGGCGTTTTAGGAGATCCCTGTCACAATTTATTCGAACGCTAACAAATAAGTCGGTAACTTCATTTCAACAAGAGACCTGACAAGGGAAAAGTGTTTTTGACCCAGATGGCAAATGTTATGTAACATACATCAATTGATTGAGAATTAAAAATGAAAGTCAGGCTTTAATATCAGTTTTTGCGGAACTCTAAAAGTCTCTCTAAAAATTATTTGGGCTTTAAAATCAGTGGTCGTTCGGCAACAACTACGTGGCATGAGGTCAAATTAATCTGCTGTTGTTGATCTCGTTCACTGGCGACGGGGGTAGTCTCCAGGAAAAAAAACTCCGGGTCGGACCTTCTCGTATTTATCATAACTTTAGGAATTTTGAATCGTTTATTGAGATAAAAAATTTAATTGAGGAGCCACGGGGAGAGATGCGAAAAAGGAGAACAAACGGCCAAATGGGAGGATTTTTATGCTGGAAAACAAACATAAACCGACGAAAAGCTGCACGTGCGGCACACGAAACCGGTGGTTGTCTAAAACGTACTGTGTCGTGGGCGAAAGTGTCACGGCGCAAGCGTCGCTGTATGAAGCCACGAAACCCTCTATTTTCGCTAGGAGGCAACATTCTAAAGTAAAAATTAGTGTGTCGCGCAGTTATTTTTAAAATTAGTTTGCGCAGATGTGCAGATGTCAAGGGAAGACATACAGCGTCCTGATAAGAAATCCTGACCGTAGTCGGTCCGTCGATTGATGTCACCCTGATGCAGATGCAATTACAGCAGATGCCTACTACGGACTACAAGATACGCATTCGGATTCATCTGGACAGACACTTCTTAGTTTCAGTTCCTTATTTATTTCCTAGTTTAAATTGGCGCCCCCTTCTTGAGTTCCACCTTTGACTTTAGCTGCGCTTTTCATTGCCACCCGTTATCTCTCTCGCCCGCTCTCTCTCTCTCTCTCTCTCTCTCTCTCTCTCTCCTCCCTCTCTCCCTCTCTATCTCTCTCTCTCTCTCTCTCTCTCTCTCTCTCTCTTGTCTCTCTCTCTAACGCCCTAACTCATTCTCTACCACTACCACTGACATATTCGAGACCTCCATTTTTGTTTTTACACCAAGAACCATATCCTCCATTTACAGATGCCATTCGAGTTCGGCGCGCTCCCACTCGAAAATCAATTCAAAATCCTGCGCTACATGGATTTGCAGAGCTTCTTCAAAACGGCCATTTCAAGCAAATCGATGCTACAGCTGGCCGAGAGATGCCCCAACAAACGGTGGGAATGCGAGCCCTGGGGATACTTTAGTTCTCAACCTGTGCCCAATAACTACAAAGCCATCCAGTTGCTTTTCCATAATTCAACTGTTGATGGGCTGAACCCCGATGCCATCCCTCATAAAGAAATCAATATTCGTTGCCGAAGGCTGTATCTGGACCAGAACAGATACGAACCTTACGATTTATTGCCGTATCTCAAACGTCATAAGCCGTTGTTCGGGAAATATAAATTTATCTATGCTCCTCGACAATTTCGACCATCCAGTGAAATGCTGGATTTTCTGAATGCATCGACGGATAGTGTGACGGCCACACTCTGCGCCCCCCTATCGGCATATATCCATCTGAAGGTGCCACAGATGTTCCTTGAAGCGCCCATGGACTCCGGCGAATCTCTGGCGGCCCATGCTGAAGTGATAATCCGGGAATGGCTGAGTGGCGAACGGCAGATTAGCCCGCTTATAGACCTTAGGAATTTCGGTACGGTATTGAACCCCATCCACCCGGTCTTCTTTACGCGACACCCGAAACTCTACGTGGCGTGTACGGACACCACTTATTATCGTATCCGCCGGGACGATGGCGAGGTGATGATTGTCATATTTTCTCCGCGCTCCCGGTCCATCTGTATCGCGTCTCCCGATTCTGCCACTTTATGGAAATATCTAAATAAGTTTGACAAATTTATATTCGGTGCCGAATAAATACTGCCTCAATCGCTCGAGTCGATAAATTTACACATTTTCCCATTGGATAGTTTTCGCAAATGCCCTTTAGCTCGCACCTTATTTCAGACTATGACAATGAAAAGACAATAATGGCAGAACCGAAATAGAGCAGCTCCAGACAATTCAAACGGGTTTTTATGGAAAACCAGTGGAAAAAGTCCGCTTCGCGGCCCTTGAGTATTCATCTATTCCGGAATGTTAGGCAAATTCCCGGAATGTAATTCCGGGAATGATTTTGTTATGGCTGGACCTACCCGACCAAAAGGGTGGGTAACCATTCCGGGAATCTAGGTAAAACACCACCAAAATTCCTGAGATTTTTTACAGGAGCTTAAAGGGGGCGGGATTAGCTAGTATGCAAAGTTTCAAATCAATCGGGTAGTTCCTAGCGAAGTTACAGAGAATTTTGGAACTCAAGAAAAATTGAAACTTTTATTTACCGGCAGGAATGCTATCGGTTATCTCTTCATACAAATACTGGAATTTTTCGCTTTTAACAACAACATTTTTTTAATTTGAAGAATTTTCAAGTGTTTGAATTCTGGGAATGTGCTGAGATTCCTGGAGTAGATGAGAACCATTCCGGGAATGCATTCCGGGAATCGGTAAAAATATTCCCCGGAATCGTTTGCATCTAACTCCGGGAATCTATTCCGGTAACCGTTCCCGGAATAGAGATGAAAATGATTCCGGGAATGTTTTTCCCGATTCCCGGAATGATTCCCCGAATTATTCCCGGAATAAGTTCCCGGAATGATTTCCGCAATTTTTTGCGAATATTGTTATCAATAGCCATGCTAATTTCATAACGACAGGACTCAATAGGGCACCAAACGGAAGATCGAGTGATGGGAATCCCACTTCCGGATCTGGGTTCGAGCTAAAAGCAACGTCAAAAAAGGCAAAAGGGCGCCTCCACGAATTTTTAAAATTTTATAATTTAAAAAATTAAATCGCTTTAAATCTGACAATTCTTCAAAAATTGAAAAATCTAGAAAATGGAGTGTTTTGCTGCGAGATACCTAAATTTTTAAAAAAAAATCTCAATTTTAAGAATTGA